GGCGACCATGTACCTGTCACACCACTATCTCATCGACCTGGTCGGAGGTGCCTGCCTGAGCGTACTGGTGTTCTACCTCTGCATGCCCGAAGGCTTCAAGGACGTGGATCAGATCCAGTGGGGCAGGCTCGAAGGCAGCGGTTACGAGCAGATCGGAGGACCTCGAACGCGGGAGGACGTGGATCTGGACGAGGAGATCAGGAAGTTGGAAGAGGAGGGAGATCTGGCTGATGACGAGGAGGCGAGGATCTACGGATCAGCTGGGTCCAGCGGGACAGGCCTCCCCGATGAGGAAGACAGCAGGGAGCCCAAGCCCAAGATCAAGAAGAAGCGGTCGGTCAGCTGGGGGGAGACCAAGGTTCTCGGCGAGGCCGAGGCCAGAACGACCTCGGGTGACATTGGAGAGCAGGCAGGCAAGATCGATGTGTGATCGGTAGAAAATGCATGTCATGCGGCCTCTTAATACCTGCTGTGGATGGAAGCCCTGCTGGCCAGACCGCCCGGTACCGGCTGGTTGCTCCATCTGCTGATCAGACCCATGGCTCGCGCCCTCCTCACCAACTTGCCAACCTTTCGCTGAGACTTCCACGTGAGACCGGTCTCTGCCCGTCCCTTGATCTTGCCCATCTGGTTGACGAACGCGAGGGGGAACAGGGGATTCAGGTCGTGCGCCAAGGGAGAAGTCCCGCTGAGGTGGAACGGGTCCAGCTTGACCGCTACCTTCCTGGGAGGGCCAAGAAGGGGAGGACGAGCGTTGGGGCGAGGCTCGGGATAGAGCGATGACGAGGTGAGAGAGTGGGGTGCGATCCACTGGAGCGGTGTCAGCGCGAGCGGTCACCTGATTCACTCGACCTGCTCACCGATCCCGCCTTGAACTGATACCTCTTGTCGTCCACTTCTACCTTTGCCCTCGATGCGAGCTTGTCAAACATCTGCCTCGCTGCGTCCGAGCCGAGAGGGGAAGAGGTCCGCGGTGAGTCGGGTCGAGCGAACGCGCTGGCCAAGGCGTTTCGGGCGTTGGTTCGAGGTGCCGCAGCTGCTGCTGGCGCTCGATGCGCCAGAGACGTGTGCAGCATCCTGATGGCGAGGGGAGATCTGGACATGGCAACGGTGTGGGGGAGAGCTTTGCATAGACGAATGGATCTCAAGTATCCGACTTTTGTCCCAGTAACAGAAGAAAGCTGAAACTTGTACACGTCACCCAGTTTAACCGTCGGTTTCGCCTCCACTTGGGACGGTTCGTGTGGTTGAATTTGTCGACATCCTCTACTCGACATGCACACCTCACACACCATGGCCAAGGCACCCGTGTCCGGTCCCTCAAAGGGCGGGGGCAGACCGGTCAAGGCGATCCACAAGACTGTCGACTTGCTGAGGCAAAATCAGGGCGAGAAACGCAAAGGCAAAGGCAAGGAGAAGGAAGTCCTGGGGGATGTCATGAGCTTGGTCGATGGTAAGTGCTACTGGGAAGATCAGCACATGCGGCGCTGTATCGCTGAGGCGCTCGCCAACAGATGTCAGCCGACTCCCCAGCATGATCCAGGTGGAAAAGTTTGCCGAGGTGGGTTCATCTGCAGGCCTCTCGACAGATGCTGACGTTATCCTCCAGACTCGGGCAATGGAGATCAACGCATTTCAAACGGCCATCAAATTGGCAGCGTGAGCTAATGGTCGATCGCGATTGGGCACCGAGCTGACGATACATGCAGAGCCCAAGGTAGTACACGGGCATTTCAGTCGCTCCCTCGGCATCTGCGCCGCAGAGCCGCGAGTCACAACCCGCGGAGAGTGCCCAAGCGTCTGCGGATCCGTGCCGCGATGGAGGTGTGTCCAACATGAAGTGGATCCCCGTGACGTCGCTGACTCAAATTCAGATCGACGCCGGCGATGTCATTGCTAAAAAGCATCGCAAGGTCGCAAGGATGCGCCAAAAAGGCTCGTTACGCGATCACGCATCTCGCACCGAGCAGTTCGCCTTGCGTCAAAAGGACAAGACATGGCTCTCGACACACATATGGCATTCCAAGCGGTATCATATGGCTAACCTGTGGGGCTATCGATTGCCCGTCACACCAACCTTGAAGTCGTTCCGGCCTGCATGTAGGGCTGGGCGGAGAAAGGTTATCGGCTTTGATACCAGCTACTTTGGGATCATTGAAGTAGAGGGTAAGCGGAAAGATATCGTCAGTATGCTAGCAAGGATCTCGACGGGGGCCTATGCGGGCTCAAGGTAGGTCATCTTTTCAGTGTCACCCGCCATGCTGACTATCACAGATACGAGGACGGGTCGCGGGTTGCCAACATCACCTTGTACCACTACGACGCCTTCCCGGCTGGTCTCATCGGACCTGCCGAGGTCCTGTGGTGTCCTGACGGACGACATACCCAAGCATCGTGCCGTTTGTGGCTACGCCTGCACCCCTCGATATACAATGAGGTTTGGGACGTTCTCAAGGTGGCCTCGAGACAGCTTTTCCAGGCGGGATCCACGAGCGCTTCGACTCCGATGCAGATCAGGGACCTACGAGGCGAGATCAACTCGCTGGATATAATGGGACCCAGGGCAGGACACGTCATCAAGCGGGTGCTCAAGCTGTGTCGGTCAGAACTGAAGGTGAAGACTAGCGTGAGTTAGGGATACTTCTGCGAGGTCGATCTGACATTCGAGTCAGTTCTTCGACAGCCTCGATGTGATGCAGGATGCCTCTTCGCTGGATGAAGGGCTGGTAGCGGGGGTCACGATCCACGATCCCAGGCTCAAGTGAGTTTGCTTTTCCGCAATACCTCGGGTCAAGTCTCTGTTAGCTCACACGCTGCAGCTTCCCGCCGCAACGACCAGCCCTGGCGGAACGAGACTGTGACGAGCAGCTTCTTCGTGCCAAGCGGTACGAACCATCATCGCAGCTCGCCAGCAGTGACCTGTGGAATTCCGATATCCGCGACGATAAGTCTAAGGCAGCCTATACGAAATACCAGCTGGATGCGAGGCGACATAGGGTGAGTTATACGACGATGTACCTAAACCGCCCCTGACCCGTTCCAGCTCGGACTGCCCGGAACAAGGCTTAGACCTCAGACTACAGACGACCGCATCCCCGTTCTCCTGTTCCAACGGTCCATTTCGAATAGACAGCACCCGTCGGACGGTTTCTACGGCTTTACTCTGATGCTACCCGCCGGGCCTTGGGCCCAATACCTTCTTTTCTCGCTGCTGTACTCCGGCACCCTGATTGCTGGACTGGAAGAACGTAGGGTACAACATCGCGAGGCTGGTTTGCCGTGTTTTCCCGAACACTTTGGCCAGACCTGTCACGCTGGCTCAGAGTGGGAGACAGCACGGGCAGCCAGGGACAAAGAAACATGGGATCGCAAACCCCCGGGCAAGAGACCTGAATTTGCAGCTTTGGCCACCAGAAACCCCTTCAAACCTGATTGGAGCGCTATCTTTGTGAGCACGATTGCAGCAGGCGCGGAGGTCTGGCTGACTCTTGCTTCAGGATCATTGCAAAAGCACAGGAGAGGAAGCCATGCTGAACGGGGATGTTTTGCCCAAACCATGGCTGCTACCTTCTTTATTCGCACAACACATCACTGCGGGTCTTGACCCCGTGGGTCTACATCGAATGATCAACGCATACCGTAGTCAGCGTCGCATGCCCTCCGTCAACGTCCCATCCGTTCGGGCTCTCTTCAATACCGCATTGGTCCAAGTCGAGATCACCGTGCATGGCAGAGGGTCGCCAGGGAACATGGCCGTGATCTACGCCCTTCCGGCGGATCATCGACATATGTGGATTGAAGCTTTCGAGCGTGGGGAACCTGTCGGTGCAGGGGATGATAGCAAGCTACATCGTGTGAGCTGCGATCTCGGTGGTGCCACTTTCCGAAGCTGACCATTCTTGCAGCTCGGTGAAGAAGTGCCAAGCGAGACAGCCGTGATAGGTCATGTAGACACGGGCAACTTTTCCCTCTCCCGTGGAGCGGGTCATGCGCTCGCGACTGTCTCGTTGGAGGGCTGGCTAGGCGCTCTTGCCGCCAGTACGACAATAGGGGGCAATGCATCGTGGCAGGGGCGTGCCCTTGTGCGCGTAAGGAACCGAGATGGGAGGGTGTGCAGGTTGGCCGAGTTGCGAGTTGTATAGCTTTGGTAGACAGCCGATGTATCGCCAATGACGATTCGGGCGCACATAGGCTGCCTCGCTGGGGAGACAAGCGGCATTCACCACCTGTGTTCCTCGAGAGACACCTACCCGTAGTGTATGTCAAGCGGAGGCGCGAGTATAGTTGGTGGTCTAGCAGATCGGATTGAGCTCTGTCCGCCATATGTCAATCTCTAATCCAATCTGACAGCGCTCCTGAAATGGATCGTACACCCAGGGGCTCAAACCTCGCAGAACGGCCAGAGCTGCGCTCAACGGCGAGCGATTGTAGCCAGGACACCGTCAGTTCGGGCTTCGTACCACCAGGACAGCCAAAGCATGCTAGAAGTCGAGCGGCATAAAGGTCGCGCTCGGAAAATCGTTCACAGGAGGGTCGTTTCAGTGATTACTCCATGTGAAGCCCGAGCGTGACATCCCGCTCTAATACTCTGAGCACCGGTATGTCTGTACTGTCGCGGCCTACACGCTTGTTTGGATTCAAGTTCTCGTCGGAGAGTCGTCTAACGAGCTGAGAGCTGAGAGCTCGAATGGCGGTCGAAAGAGTCGTCATAGACCTAATCAATGGTGTTTGGCTACACCCATGCGGAGCGTACAAGATCTCCTCACTAACGTCACCCTTGGGGAAGCTAGCCTCGTGGTGATGCCAGCCAGTGAAGTATATCATGGCCGATGCAACAGTCTCGTTCGTGCCTTCTCATCCGCGCCGGGGCCGATTGGCATATCAGCCGCATAGTCGTGCTTTCGCTCACAAAACAATCAGCGATCCGGAGCAGTGAGCTCCCCATAAAGCCTTGTCAAGGGGTTATATAGAAGCAATTTTGGCATATTCCAAGGAAATATGGTCACGTGATGGAGTTGGTCACCATACCTGTCTAACAATTCGGCGTTCTACGCCCAAGTGCCACACAGGAGGTCGGCGGTTCGATCCCGCCCGGGATCAAATTTTTTGGCGGAGCAAAAATCTTTTTGTCGCGACTCAAAATCAGCTCTTTTTCCAAAATGCCACACTCATGTCTTTGGCTCGGGATGCTCGGGATGCCACGTGAGTGCCAGTCGGAAGCGGGATGGCAGCGCGACGCGGTTATCTATAGTTGAATCCGATGCGAGGTTCACACTGACATACTCATACGCACCATGGATAACTACCTGTCGGCACCGCCACCGCTCGGCGACGAGATCCGCTTCGAGGTGTACTATGGCGTGTCGTCGCCGTGGGCATGCTTGGGTGCGCCTGAGGCCGCACGGATTGCCAGTGTTTATGGGGTGACGCTGCACCTGAAGCCGATCACCGTGGTGGAGGAGAACGGAGGGATCCGAGTGAGTCCTTGTATGCCTCCTGCTCCGTCAGCAGCTGACACTGGTCAGCTCAAGACGCGACATGCCGCTCGACAGGCGTATCACGCGTTGGACCTGGCGCGGTGTGCAAAGCACTACAACATCGCCATGAAGCCAAAGCCGAGGTACTACCCGCCCGCACCGGGGGTGATCGAGCTGGCCGGCCAGGCCATCATCAGGGTGCAAAAACACTTTGGCATAGGCTCGTTGGAGGCTCAGCGATACTCGTATGCGATCCAGCGATGTATCTGGATTACGGAGGATGGGGATTATGCCGAGGTCGAGACGCTGCGCCGGATCGCCAGGGAGGTTGGAATAGACGCTGCCGTGGTGGAGCGGTGTGTCGTGGACAAACGCGGGGATGAGAATGACGAAGGGGTTCAGGAGTGGAGGAGGAACTTGAGCGAGGCGACAGAGCTCGGTATGTTATCTGCCTTACCCGCCGCACGAAAGGCTGACCTCTGCAGGCATTTTTGGCACGCCGAGCTATGTCGTCAACGGCGAGATTTTCTGGGGCCAGGACCGGCTCAGCTTTGTCGAGGAGCGCATCAAGGAGCTCGTCGCACACAAGGCGAGGCCTGTCAAGTATTGGCAGCTGTAGTTCATGACATGTACGATGCCGGATCTGCCCGTGGCACCGTCACACACTCTCCTCCCCCGCCCACCTGACGTCAGCCTGCGCTTCTAGCCAATCCATCCAGCTCTTGAGGTACTTGCTGCCCTTGGCCACAGTTGACGAGTCGCCTACAACACACTACCGTGTCAGCTGTATCAGGACCCGTCACTCACCAGCTGTCTCTTGGCCCGCGTCATGGCCACGTTCAGTCGCCTGTACTCGCCCAGGAAGCCCACTTCCCCGGTGGGATTGGACCTGACCAGTGACAGAATGATGGCCTAGAGCCGGGTTCAGCACGCGGCTGTCACACGTCATACGCACCTCTCGCTCCTGCCCCTGCAAACCGTCCACGCTACCAATGGTCATGTCCGGGAACTCATCATGCAGCATCGACGAGATGAGCGATACTTGAGCCTGATACGGCGTGACAATGCCGATTTCTGCGGCAGGCACACCGAGGTCCACCTTGCACAGTCAGCCAAGCTCAAGTCCAGTCAGACATACCAGCTTGCCTGCCCATTTGGCCACCACCACCGCCTCGTTTTCATTGCTCTTACTTCCTTCGCCGATGGACCCCTTCCCGGCGTCCCCGTCACCTTCCGTCCTTTCGTAAAACTCACACCCGGAGGTGTCAAAGAACACCACCGTCGGCTCGAGGGCATCTTTAGCTTCGTCACTTGCATCGTCCGAGATGGAAGGGAGAGACAGCAGTGTCCTGTCAGCGACAGAGGGGTCCGATCGCAACGCCGAATCATACAGCGTTTCCGAGGGGAACACAGCGATGTGCTCGTTCATTCTGTACTGGACCTGCAGGACCCGCTTGATACCGTCCCCGTATAGCGTTTCCAACCGTTCAAAGAGCGTGGTTTCCAAGGTACGAGGCGGTTGTAGGTCGGACTCTCGCAGTTTCAGCTTGTCCAGGTCCGCCTCCATGGCCACGCCCCCGTTCATAGCCTTGAAGTTCTTGTCGTCCTTGCTCATGATGGTCGGGGGCAGCTACCTGGGTCAGCATCAGACACCTACCTCGCCACACTAACCTGTTGAGGGTCGCCCGCCAGGATGAGCTTTTTCGACTTGAGAATCGGCACCCAGCAGACAGCCTCTACAGCCTGGGTCGCTTCGTCGACGATACACACGTCGAACGTGGTGTTGTTCAGCTGCCTAGATCCGGCGCTGTGACACGTCGCCAAGACCACTTGTGCCCGTGAGAGCACACTGGTTACCACTTTGCCTTCTCGCTGGCGGTACCTGCGCGGGGGATCAGCACAGTCCAGCAGGACACGCAGAGACTCACTCCTTTCGCAACTCCCTCACCTCCTCCCACTTTTTACCCCTCTCCTTGCCTTTCACTGCCCCTTTCTCACCTCTCTTCTTCCCCAGATCACTCATGTGACCTTGTAGCTCTCCACCTACGTCCTTCAGCAGCTCTCCCTCCTCTCCGTTCGCCGCGCGGTAGTCCAAGGTCTGCCCGACCAGGTCCCTGTGTACTCGTGTTGGGTGACCCAGCCGAAGGACAGAGCCTGGAGGTAGCAACGAGCTATATGGCGGGAGCTGAGCGAGGTGGTGCAGTCGCAACAGCAGGTTGTCGAGTGCCAAGTTGGAAGGGGTAGTGACCAGTATACGAGGTGGGAGGGATGTCGTCGGCGACGCTGGCCTCGAGAGCAGCTGGAAGATGAGCTCGATAAGGGTGTGAGTCTTGCCAGTCTACATGAGAGTCAGCAGGGTCACAAAGGCATCTATGCAAGACTCACACCGGGAGGCCCGTGAACGCAAGCGACATCATTCGCCTTGAGACAGAACTCGATGGCCTCCTTTTGGCTCTCGTTCAGCTTGTCATCGTACCATTGCACCCCGATCGAGCTCGCATCGCCCTCTTTCGCGGTGACAGGTGGGATATCAGGCGACCACGCGGGTACTTGTACGCCCAACAACGAGTTGATCAGGGAAAAGTTCTGAGCATGAGGCGAGGGTGCACCTTGTTCCGGCAGGACGAGGCGACGCAGGTGCATCAAAGTCTTGTCCATTCGATCGAACGTGACCGAATTGGCGAGCTTCAGCCTGGAGAATACTCTCGTTAGCTTATCGCTAGAGCGGGGACCTTTACCCACAGGCGTAGCCGTTCAGGCAAGTCGACCTCTTTCGACCCATCCACCGCCACCACCACTTTCTCCTGGCTGATCTTGTACACAACCCCTTCCACCGCGCCGTCGTCATCACCTTCCTTCTTCTTTCCTTTTCCTTTCACCCCGGCCCCATTGGAAGACACGTGCGCCTCGATCCGGACTGGGTCCCCATTCCGAAAGGTGTGAGGGGGGAGCTGGGGATTGACATGGTAGGCTGAAGGCCTGTGCAGCTCGACCAGGCTAGACATCGCGTCAGCATCGCACAGCACCCAGCTCACTCTCCAGCTCACCTCTTGCCCCCCAGACCGACGCTGATGCTGGACGTGCCGAGACCGCCCAGGGCCAGTCCCCTCTGCTCCAAAAGCTTGGGCGAACATTTCGAGTTCAATAGTCTCGTCTGTTCCTCCTCGGCCTTCCGCTCGAGCTCGAGCAGGTATTGATGTCGAGAGATGAATGCCTCGAGGACGGAGCGAGACGGCGGCGATGGCTGCTTCAGCTTTCCATGCATGATGTTGGGTGCGACATTAAACAACATGAATCAGATGCAGTCTACCATTAAACGAAACATCCTCCACCGGTAGAACTCGTTCGCACGCGACGTCATGGGCAGATCACTTCATTCGCAAACTCGCAACGTATCCGAGCTGGTGTTGACCAGTCGACGTATCACAAGTTCTCCGGCATCGCGGTCCACTGCGTTGGACTAGTTGCATTGTAAAGCTATAACCCTGCCATTTCCTAGCTGCCGGCGCCCCCTCCTCCGCCCAAGGCCCGGTCGAGGTTGAACGCGGCGGAAATAAGCGTAACGTGTGAGAACGCCTGGGGCGTGTTCTGTACCCAGCAGTGAGCGAATACCACTCATGTAGTCACACAGGCACTCACGCCGAGACCCTCTCCTCCGGGACTGATCTCCTCCGAGTACAGCTCGACGTGGTTTCCATAGCCCAAAAAGTCGATAAACATGTTGACGCTACCTCGTCAGTCCAGTTCGCGGACGAATCACTCACGCCTTGTCCAGGTAGGGGGGGTGATATACTCCAGCCCTCGTCAGAGCCTCGACACACCACAATGTACACAGAGAGAAGGCTCCTTCTTCACCGCCAACACCGTCATCGGATTTGGATGCGTTGTATCGGTAGACTGACGAGTTGGCAGTCAGACCGCCCTTCTCTGGGCTGTGACGACGGTCAGCATGTTACGCTCATCGCGCGACTCACGTCTTCATAATGTTGTCGAGCGTCCTGGTGAACCTGGGATCCGCAGCGGACATGAAGAAGACCAAAGGCATAATCACTAGGCTGGTCAGCACGAGCATGCTCAAGCGAAGGAAGACTCACAAACGGCCGAGTCGAGCGACTCCTTGTCCTCGTAAGATTGCGAGTAAAAGCCCTTCTCCTCACTGAGTCCCGGTCAGTCTTGCGTCCTATTACCGCCTAGACTCACTTCCAGCCCTTGTTTTGGATATCCTCGTATAGCTTGTCCCTCGTTTCGAGCCACTTGGACCGATTGGGGCAAGGCAAGTCGCGCTTATTGGCCAGACGCAGACCTCGGTCAAGAGCGACCCTACAAGGCATCAGCCCAGTCGGTAGAGACGCTCCGGGTACTCACCACATCATCACCTTGGAGTAGATAAAGTTCTTCTTCTCACCTCGGACCTCCCTAATCTCCTGTTAGCCTAGAATTGCGTTGTCGTCGCCTTCCTCACCAGATGGAAAGATCCGGCTCATCGACTTGGGTGCATACGAAATCGACCACTTGGCGGATGGACACCCACGAGTCCCAGCTCTGCATGTCAGCGCTGCATGGACACTTTACGCACCAGAGGTTTGCTGTACTTTTGCGCCAGGTAGATGCTGTCCATGAGCT